GTATGCTTCCCCGTCCCTTGTCCCCCCCAAAACAGTTTCTTTGAAAGGTGTAGAATAGTTACACAAAATAGCAGGTTATGTGTAGCACATTAGTACACGCATAGAACCTAAACGGATCACTCCCCCCTCTGGCCTTCCTCCGGCCACCCGCATCCTCTTCTGTAAATCTCCCCTGTGTTTTCATGTCATCTGTCTTTAAAACAATTCTTAATCTGACAAGCAGCGATAATTCCCATTATCACGCCCAGGAGTGAGAGCACAGGATGACCCAGGTTCTCAGAAATGCAGAAAAATTCAGGGGCTTTCTGGGTTTTGTGTCACATCAAGGAGTGGCTTTGCCCCACTTTGGGGAATTTGAGTTCTTCATTCACATGATTTCTCTTGGGGTCCATTGGAAATTCACACGTGATATATGCTGCTGGGAACACCGGTGTTATAGTTTGTAGCTAGTTGCTCCCCGGGCCCCCACCCCCACCCCGTGCAAAGCCCCATGTAAATCATGGGGCAGTCGCAGCTTGCTGCAGGAGCTGCACGTCGCTTGAGGGCGGGACCTAAGGGGCGGGGCCAGAAAAGCACTTAAACTGACGGCATGCCCCACTCCCAGGCCTGGGGGCCTCTCTTGGAGGTATGGAGCGGATTATCCTGGATGTGAAGGTGCCCTAGCCTCTCTTCCAGACTCAGTAGTGAGGTACAGCAGTGTCTCGAGGTCTTGCTATGTAATTCAGGCTGCTTAAACTATGAAACCTCCAATAACTGTGAGCTCAATAAACCCTTCCTTCCCTAAGCTTGAGTGTCGGGCATTTGTCCCAGCAAGGAGAGAAGACTAGCTAAGACAACCGGCATGCTCTTCGAGCAGTACTTTTAGAGATCAGAGTTTTCCTTTTCATGATAACATACACGTTTTATTTGTGTAGACCTGAGGATTGAACACAGGACATTCACAATGAGACATTTTGTTTTGTATTTTTAGACATGGTATTGCTAAGTTGTCCAGGTTGGGTGCAAATTTTCCTGCCTCAGCCTCCCTGAGTGCTTTAGTCATGGCCCAGTTAAGGCAACATGCTCTTTTTTTTGGTATCAGGGATCGAACTCAGGACCTTGTGCTTGCCAGGCAGATGCTTATGCCGCGGAGCCATCTCTCCAGCCCAGCTATCTCCCTGGCCCAACATATTTTTGAGAATTTTATGGTCATCCTTCAAAATAGGAGTGTGGGGGCCGGAGAGATAGCTCAGTAGAATAAGCACTTGAATGGCAAGTGCAAGGGCCTGAGTTCAATCCCTGGTTCTGGAAAAAAAAAATTGCAAAACAGGACTGTGGAGACGAGGGGTGCAGCTCGGAGATAGAACATGTACTTCACGTAGGTGAGATCCTGAGTTCAATCCTCAGCACCCGATAGGCAATCAATCAAAAACAAAACCTAAAAAACAGTATTCAAAGTAGGTTAACATCATGAGCCTCAGACTCAGAAGACTGGCTCTGCCAGCCTCCAGTGTAACGGTGGACAAATTGAAAGCCTCCCCGAGCCTCAGTTTCTCTATCTGTAAAGTGGAGACAGAATGGTGCAAGAGCTACTAGATAACTGTAAAGAGCAGAACATGAACCACAGAGCCAGATGGCCTGAGTTGAAATCCCAGCTCCACACTGGCAGGATAGTACGCGTCTCTAATCTCAGCACTCTTGGCAGCTGAGGCAGGAAGACTGAAATTTTGGGCACAGCCTAAGTTCAAGTCCAGCCTGGGCAATTTCTTTTTTAATCAGATTTCAGAGATAGATTGTAGATATACATAGTGATCACAGTCATCGTATAGAATTTATACTTGTACACGACAAAACGTGTTTCTTTTCTCCCCTTTCACTACCTTCCCTTCAACCCCTCTTCCCTCTCCCCACTTACAAAGTTTTGTTTCCATTTTTCCTCCTTTTCTCTCTTGTTAAAATTTCCTTTTTTTCTTCTTCCCCATTTGAACATTTCCTTCGTACTTCACAAGATCTATTATATATTTTGGTCCTTATTTACACTTTCAGTTTCTTATACCAGAAGCACAATGCGGTATTTATACATGTGTGTCAGATTTATTTCACTGAAGAGTGTAATCTCAAGGTGCATCCGTTTACTTAGGAATGGCTCACACTTTCATCCTTCTTTATGGTAGAGTAGTACTCTACTGTACAAAAAAATCCTTAACCATTTACTAGTTGATGAGCGTTTAGGCTATTTCCAAGACCTGACTATTATAAACTTTGATGCTATAAAGATGGTATGATATGTTTAATTCTTCTAGAAAGATACCAAGAACAGCTGGGTCAAATGCAGCCTCTTGTGGTAGTTTTTTTGAGGAATCTCCACACTGATTTCCACAATGGTTGCACCAGTCTACACTCCTACCACTAACGACGAGAGAGGCTTTCACCCCATATCTCTGGTCTTTGTTATTTTGGTTGTTTTCCTGACAATAGCCCTTCTTTCTGGGATGAGATGCCATCCTAGAGTTGTTTTAATTTGCATCTCTCAAATGTCCAGTGATGTTGAACGTTTCTCCATATATTAATTTGCTGCTTATACTTCATCTGAGACATCTGCATTCATCTTAGATGCCCATTTTTGGATTGGGTGTTTATATTTGAGGGGGTTCTGATATTTTTTAGTTCTTTATATAGTCTAGATAGCAGTCCTTTATCTGAGGAATAGCTGGCCAACATTTTTTCCCACAAGGTGAGTTATCCCTTCACTTTTTTTTGTGGTTTCTTTTGCTGTTCAAAAGCTTTTTAATCAGATGAGATCCCAGGTGATGTTTCTTTGTGATAGTTTCTGTGTGATCAGGGTTTAGTTCATAAAATCTTCACCTACTCTGATGTCTTCAAGAGTTCTACCTACTGAGTCTGTAGATTTAATGCTTCTGTCTAATATTTAACTCTTTGATCCATTTCAGCTTTAGTGCATGGTGAAAAATAGGGGTCCTTCATTTTTGGTACGTGAAAGGCAGTTTTAAAGCACTATTTATTAAACAGGCTATCTTTATTCCAGTGAATGTGTTGGACACCTTTGTCAAAGATAACGTGGCTAAATATGTGTGGAGTTTAAGTTCCACATCTTCTAATCAGTTCCATTGATCCTCAGGTCTTTTTTTCTTCCCAATACATGCTGGTTTCAGCACAGTAGCTTCGTAGTACAATTTCAAGTCTGGAATTGTGATGCCCGCTGCCTTGCCTTTGTTGCCCAGAACTGCCTTTGCTATTTTAGGTCTCTTCTAGTTCTAATGAATTTTAGGATCGTTTTCTGTAATTCTGTGAGACATGGTATTTGAATTTTGCTTAGAATTGTTTTAAAACTATATAACAATTTTGGAAGTATGGTCATTTTCACTATATTAGTTTTTCTTACCCAAGAACAGGGGATGTCTTTCCACTTTCTGATATCCTCTTCCATCTCCTTTTTCACTGTAGTATAGTTTTCAGTGCAGAGGTCTTTCACTTCCTTTGTCAGACTGATTCCTAGGTATCAATCTTTTTTTCAGTCTGGGCAATTTAGCAACTCCAAATTAAGAAATAAAAAGGCCTGGGATGTACCTCAGTGTGAGAGCTCTGTATACCATTCTCAGCACTGCAAAACAATCAATGAAGTAAACAGCTTGGTTCTCTCTTAACTGTGTAACATCTGGCGAGTTACTTAAATTCTCCTTGCCCCCAGGTCATCTCATGCAGGCAGTGACAGTGTAGGGAAATGTCTGAGAGGACTGTGGTAATGTTAAAAAAGGTAACACACAAAATGTCAAACTCACATCTCCTGCTGTAGGAACTGTGTTGCTGTTATCACAACTGTGTAAAAGGTAACACAGAACCTGAATAGAAGCTTGGCTAGAACCCAGGGACGGCTGAAGGGTCATAGTCACAGAAAGAAAAGGGACCTGTGACAATAGAATGGCTACCCCCACGTACTTTCCCTAGGGATGAACAGCAATGATTGACACTCTAAATAGGTGTCCATCACTTTGGATAGGGAGCCAGGAAGAGCCACTGACTCACCCCTTCCAGCAAAAGCCCTTGTTGCATTCCATGAGTGAGTGCCACGTGACTTGCTTCCCCATTTGATCTTCATTTAATCGGTATTGCCTAAGCAAGTATAGTCATAATCTTATTGGTTGGTCATAGTTTTGTCCCACCTCAAGCCCACTTGTGATTTTCCATTAATTGATATTACCTAAGTGATTACCCTCATCATCTTACTGGTTCACCATAGTTCTGTGCCATTTCTTCCTCTCCTTGTTATCTCCCATTGGATCAGTGTTGCCTAAGTGACTATTCTTGTAATCTTATTAGCTGATTATGGTTGTTCCCACCTTAGGCCCACCTCACGTGGTGGTTTTGCTGTATATAATTGCCTTGAAATTCTTTCCCTTTTCTGTTGGTCTTTTGAAAGGAACAATTAATGTTTAATTTTTTTTCCTTTCTAATTTCTTACAACTTTTTGTTGTTTTTTTAAACCAAAATTTGAGGTTTATATCTAGTGATCTAAACAACAAATTTTTGGGGGTGATGGTGGCCCTGAGCAATTTTATTACTTGTTTCCTAAACCTCAGCTGCCTCGTGAATAGCACCTACTTCATGATGATGATTAGATGCATTAATGCAAAAAACAGTACATGCCTGGGCCACGCTATGCCCCCACAAATGCCCGTTGTCAGCTGCCACTATTCACATGTCCATGTCACCACAGGGATGGAAAGTTTAACAGAAAAAGTGTGTTTTAGCCCCCAGGACGTGGGCTGCCCAGTTTGTCCACGGGTGTCCACGGGTGTCCACAGGTGTTGCATCCTGGACAGCTGCTAGGTGACTTTTATCTGCAAAACAGAAAAGCCATCTGCTTGGGTAGAAGGCATGAGCATGTAATCTGCCAACCTGGCTGACGTACAGACACTCTTGTCCATGTAGAAGGCTCTGTTGGGAGTGGCAGAGAAGCCAAGCCCAGCACCCTGGTTGAACTTGGCTGGGTTGTAGTCCTGCTACAACTGCTGCAGCTGCTGCTGCAGGCTGTCAGCTGCCTTGCTGAGGACCACATTGGGCCTTGCAGTCACATGAGGGGAGCGGCTCACTAAAGGGGACAGATTCTTTTTTTTTTTTTTTAATTTTTTTTTTAACATTTATTTATTGTGTGTGGCCAGCTCAGCCCACCAGGGGGCACAACTGGCTGGCATGTGGTGCTGGGGGATCGAACCGTGGTCCTGTGCTTTGCCAAGCTTGTTCCAAGGAGGTGCTTTACACCACTGAGCCATCTCTCCAGCCCCAGACAGATTCATAAAGCCACCCATAAGTTTGAGAAATTTCAGTTTCTGTTTCTTGTTTTCAAAATCTGCAGTATCCCCCTGGCCAAGCTGGGTTCCTGTCCACTTCCTGGGTTCGGATGCACCTGTCTTGCCTGACTCCCGATCAATCTGTTCTTGCAAGGCCTTTTGCCTCACCTGATCCATGTTGCCTTTCTTCTCCATCACCACCACCAGGTCCCTATCTGGCTCCTCCTTCCAAGAGTCTACCGTTACTGTGCTCTCTTTCTTCTTCTTTTTCTTCCTTTTCTGAGCCAACTCAACAACTGGCTTTTTTTTTTTTTTTTTTTTGCTCCGAATGCCTTCAGGGCAGGTTTGGCTGGCTTGAGTTGTGAGGATCGAACCACAGCAACCTGAGCCTGACTGCTTTGTTGAAGCAGCCACTGAAAGAGCTGAGCTAAGGGGCAGGCCCCCAACAACTGGCTTTTCTTCTTTTTTCTTAGCCTTTGTTTCCTTCTTCACTGTGGCTTTAGGGTGATCTCCTAGTGGGATATACTCTAGAACCTCAGTTCTGACTGGCTTCTTCTTCTTTCCTTTCCTACAGTTGCTCTCCATGGACCTGGAAAGCTCAGAGTGGCCTGGGAGGATGTCTTCCTCCTGATGGATTTTCCTCTTCACTTTCCTGCTGTGTTCTCTGGAGCTGCCCTGCTCCCCTTTCGGCCCCAAGGCTGCCTGCTCCTCAGTCTCCTTCTCCACCATGCATCCATACGTAGCATCTCCTGCCTCACAGAGCCAAGGGTCCTGGACAGAGCAGGCTGTGGTATCCTGGTTCTTTCTTTCTTTCTTTCTTTCTTTCTTTCTTTCTTTCTTTCTTTCTTTCTTTCTTTCTTTTTTCCTTTCTTTCTTTCTTTCTTCCTTCCTTCCTTCCTTCCTTCCTTCCTTCCTTCCTTCCTTCCTTCTTTCTTTCTTTCTTCTTTCTTTCTTTTTCTTTCTTTCTTGTGGTTTTGGGCTTCTTGCCAACTCTGGTTGCCTCCTCACGTAGACTGGGGTTGGGGCAGGTCTTTACCTCTTAGTGCTCTGATGTGGCCAAAGGCAAGGTCTTCCTCTTATTTTTCACCCCACTGAAGGACTCTGGTCAAAGACCTGCTTCTTGAGGCTGGGTGACTTCTCTGTCTGGCTGGCTTGTGATGTGGGCTTAGATTCTGGGAGCTCTTCATAAAAGGTGCTGTGGCCTGCTTTTCTTCACCAAGGGTATATGGGACGTCTGCTCTTGGCTTACAGTCCTAGAGGGGATGTGGCGCTCACAGGAGAATTATCAGCAAAATAATTACCATCATTTACAGTTGCATATTGAGTCTCTGGTTCTTTGACTACCTCCTCCTCCTCTTTCTCTGGGAGCCCAAGGCCCAGGTCTGTTTTCTGAGTCTTGGTGATCATTTCCGCATGACAAACAACACCGCCTCCATGTGAGAGCCCACTTGGCTGTGACCTGGAAGTCCTAAACAACAAATTTGAAGATAACATCATGAAATACAGCAGCCATTGTTGAATGCCTATTACTTCATTTAATGAAAGTTTGAAACTTTTCTAATCTTTTTTTGCGATACTGGGGATAGAACTCAGGACCTTATGCTTGCCAAGCAGGCACTTATGCCACTGAGTTATCTTCCCGGACCCTACTATTTTGTATTCTTTAAAAATTCCCTTGAAAAGTGGGGTTCTTGGCAACCCACTCAAGGCCTTCTCTCTCTCTCTCTTTCTCTCTCTCTCTCTCTCTCTCTCTCTCTCTCTCTCTCTCTCTCTCAGAAAGAAGTTGTTTCCCCAGTAAATATGTTCTGCTCTTAACCTCCATTGTTTCAAGAATTCATTATTCAATTTTATAGAACATGAACTCATACTGGATATCTAGCAGGTTGGGAGTTTCTTTCCCTTCTATCAATCCCAGAGCTCTGGGTAGTGCCGGCAGGAAGGTTTTTTGTGCCTTTTGATATAGGGAAGATGGTAGATGTCAAATACATCAAGTTCATGTCCTCCAAAGCTAGACAATGAATTCTAAGGAAAAACAGAGGTTAAGAGTAGGAAAATGTGTTGGAGAAAAGGAATAGGGAATAAGAAAGGAGAATGAGGAATAGGAGTAGCTCCTGAGAGACAGGAGGAGTCCCAAATGTATTGCCAATGAGCCCACCTCTAAAAAGAAGATAAATAGAGCAAAATCATGAGGCAGGTATAACATGGGTCAAGACTATGATCAACCAATAATATTTTAAGTATAGTTGCTTAGGTTATATTGATCTAATGATAGCAAGGATGCACAGGTGACATCATGCACCTTGGTCACTGATCTGTAGTCTTAGTCTTAGTCTTCTCCTTCGTCTTAGTGGGTAAAGAAGGTGGCCCACCTCTAATGGGAAATCTCAAGAGGGTGACACCAATAATCCTAAGCTTCTACTCATCCCCTGGGGAAGTATATAAAACTAGCCATTGGGCTGGGAAGATAGCTTGGTGGTCTAAGTGCCTGCCTGGCAAGGGCAAGGACCCAGGTTCGATCCCCAGTATCACATGCTGTGCCGGCCTCAGAACAGGCACCAAACCTGCCACTGAAATTGGGCATGGTGGCGCATGCCTGTAATCCTAGTACTAGGGAGGCTGAGACAGGATCAGTACAAGTCTGAGCTGTATAGTAAGACCCTGTACCAAATAAATAAATAAATAATTTATTTTTTTAAATAAAAAACTAGCCATTGTGACTTTAATTTTCAGATGTACCTCAGGCCAAAGCCCTGATACATTTTCATCTCCTACATTGACTCCCTTGAGGGCCCAGCCCTACCTGATGCTATATTTCTACCTAACTTAGCTGTCTATAATGTTCTAGGGGAGAAAAGGTATAGCTTCCCTCTAGCTCAGAAGGGTTGAGGTAACTAATCTAATGTGCCTCAGACAGAGGTCATATTGTAGTTTAGCAGTTATGAACTCCTTACAAGATCCATCTGGTCAATCTTGGAAAAAGGGTCTGGCACATTTGCTGTTGGTTCTCTCTTCGTGATCACTTGGAGTTTGGCAGCCTCTAGGCTAGAATAAACAAATTTTCCAAAAATTAAAGCATGTATAATCAAAGCATGAGCACTAGAATGGAAAGAAAAGTTGGGGACTGAGTCGTATCCCAAAACTGCTGTGAAGGGACAAGAACAGTGATTGCACCCAGTTGCCTCTTTAAACCCTTCTAGTGATGGAAGCTATCTATAAGCCATACTTTGTTGTAAGTCCTTTTAGTTTAGCTGTGAGATGGAGAGAAGGAATTTAGAGACTCATGTTAAGCTTTCATAGATTCCACTGTGGTTATTCTTGTCTTAATAAATCATAGTCATAGGGGCCAGGGAGATGGCTCAGTGGAATAACCGCTTCCCTGGCAAGCACCAGGGCCTGAGTTCAATCCCCGGTTCCACCAAAAAAAAAAAAAAAAAAAAAAAAAAAAAAAAAAAAATCACAGTCACCAGCTACCAATGTAGCTGGAAGCTGCCAGAAGTGGGTCAGTGATTGAAGCCCCTTTTTATATCCATTTCTTATTACTATGGTACTGTTTTTATACATCTTTGGGTTATGCTTTTCTTCTAGGTATTTAAAACTCTCTCTCTCTCTCTCTTTTTTTTGGCAGAACCGGGGATTGAACTCAATGACACACATCTCTTACGACAAGTAACTGGATCCCAAGAGAAAGGCAGATCACTGAATCTAGAAAATGGTTATCACCATGAACAATCTTCGTTTTACATCTTAGAAGACCTATACACCTAGAAGGCATGAATACATTTAGTACACCACGAGGTTAACAATAATTAACGCTACAGTGATAGAGAAACCTGCGTCTCTTAATTTAGCTTTGCTCTAAGAGTATCTTTTAATAAGAAAGCCTTATTGTTTTGTCCCCAGAAAACTTAACCTTTTGCACTTGGCGGGTTGGGCTGCAGTGGCAGCAGCTGTGGGAGCCAAGATACTGCACACTAAGGTCTCAAGACTCTGGCTCCACCACCCTCCACCTCTCTCTCCTCAGTCTAGGTGTAAGGGTGATAAGGAAGTAATGGTCACTACCTTTGGGAAACCCATACATGCCTTTGATTGCCTCCAGTACCCGCCTCTTTTCCTTCCTGCTAGTGGACCAGGTGTGGTGTGATGGCAATGGCTGCCTGCTCATAGAGTCCTGCTTCCTCCAGGTTCGCTCCTCCATCTGAGCTGCAGGAGCCAAGACAGCTGGGCAGCATCCCTGCCTCTCACCATCTGCACCAGCCAGTGGGTCTCTGTGCTGAGGCAGTAGCCTCTCCATGGTGTCTTTGGGTAGGTGCTTTGGGAATCTGCTGAGGAAATTGAAGCTGGTGTCCATGGGGAGCAGGGCATTGGAAACATCTGTTTGATCACGAGACTCTCATATGACAGTTTTGATAACATCTATCGGGCAACAACTGGCATTGACTTTTTGTTAAAAACAGTGTACTTAGAGGAGCAGACAATGTTGACTGATTCCAGCAAACTACAAAATGGATTGATGATGTCAGAATAGACAGAGGAAGTGGTGTTCTCTTTATGATAGTAGGAAGTAAAACAGATCCTGCCGATGACAGCCAAGTGGTAATTGAGGAAGGAGATAGCAAAGCCAAAAATGGCAAGAGGATTCAGAAAATAAAGACAAGAGATAACAGCCGGGGTCAGGTGGTGGAACAAGCCTGAACGGTAAAGGCCCCCAGAACAGCAGTAGGGGATTTTATTTATACCTTTGCAAAGTTGCAAGACACAAAGTTGCCTAGTGACTAATAGCCTGCAATGTCCAGGTAGGATGTTTTTCCTCAAGACTGAGGGAGTTGACTGCTTTAGGCAATGAGGCCTCATCCTGCCCTCCCAAAAAGGATCAACTTCCCACTTGAACAGCTCCCAGTATATGTCCCTTTTTTGTTTCATTGTGTGGGTGATGGGTGTTCCTTTGCAGTTGGAGAAGCTGTGTTTGGAGAGCTCTTTAGAAGACCTTTTATTCTTGATGTCAGTCCAAGGATTTTGGTGCCCGTATACAGAAATTTAACCCTATAAAGTCCGATAGCCAATAACAGCAGTGAGTTATCAGTACAGCTGGCAAATTTTATAACTTGTGAGTAGGGATTTGAGCCTTTTATAGGTAACATGTTATTATATCATTTTTTTTTTACATCTCATGGTTATATTTTTATGCTGGATGGTTAAGACTAAGTTAAAGCAATATAAATAAAATTTTAACTTTTTTCTATCTAACAAGATCAGTTAAAACTCCTTAGGATTTACCTTGGAGCATGTACGGTACCTCTTAGATCTTTTGTTAGTGTCAACCATCTGCATGAGTCCGGGCCTTTGCTTGACAAATTTGGTTTTTATGAAAGCTAGAGAGACATTTTCTCTCCAGGTGACTCTCCTTAGGCACATTATACATCATCAGTCACTTTCCTCCATGGCTCTATAATCTCCTTGATGAGAAAATTAGGGGCTCAACTGAGTTACAGGATGTCACAGCAGAGATTTTTTTAATGGCCTGAGTCCTCATAAACCTTAAAGGCTAGGGTCAAAATATTGGCTATCCTTTTAGCCAATCTCTCTAATTTTTGGCCTCCAAACTTCAGTTGTTGAACATCTGTAAGAAAAGCTGCATGACATTACCCTATAATGGAGACAGTAAACTTAACATTATTATCTTATCTGAATATCAAACACCTTAGAACATAAAATGAGACTGTTATTTTTAACAATCATGAATATTTCAATATTTAAATCCCTATAGGATGTTAACAGGCAACAGTTATATATTGTTACATACAAATGTATAAACCAAAACCATGCATAACATTGTAGCATGACAATCCTGATGACATTTTGTAACATATAAATTTTCATTTTAACATAACATAATCCTATTAACCAATCATCTCTATCTAATATCAAAGAAGTTTTTACCTAATTAATCACCCTTAAATGGGATGTACATAACAATTTTTTTGTTAAAGTCAGGGGGTCAGGGAGATGGCTCAGTAGAATAAGTGCTTACCTGGCAAG